CCATGCCCATAGTTCAGTTTGTAGGGTGCCGGCCATTTACACTGAGGCTGGCGGGTTTGAACCTGGCCTGGGCCAGCTAAAAGAACAACGACAACTGCAACAAAGAAAAAGCTGGGCATTGTGGCGGGTGTCTATAGTCCCTGTTACTTGGGAGGATAAAGCAAGAGAATCACTTAAGCCCTAGAGTTCTAGGTTGCTATGAGCTATAACTCCATAGCACTCTATTCAGGGCAACAGCTTGAGATGCTGTCTCAAAAAAAAAAAAGTTTGCATATATCTGTATATATATTCAAGTCCTCACTTATGTTAGTTTTGTTTTATCTTTTGTTATGAAAGTATATGCATAAGATAAAATATATCCTTTAAATTGTTTAATAATTCACTTATTTCTTTATTTTATGTGAGGTTATTACAATGGTACAAACAATTAGGTTACAGTGTTTGCATTTGTTTGGCACAGTCCATGTCGTAGTTGTGTCCCACACCCAGAAGTTGTGCCACATCCCCTTACATCGTGCCCATTGGGTGGGAGCACACCACTTCCTCTCCCTTCTCTCCTCTTTCCCCTCCTTCCTGTCCCTTGCCCAGAAGTTGAATTGAGTTGAATTTTTCTCTTTTGCGAACATGTACTAGTTCATCTAGTGGCTTCGTAGTAGAACATGTATTCCTCGGACTATTGTAAAGGGCATTGCTCACTCAGTGGCATTAGGCCCTTGTGCTATTGTGTGCAACCATCACCACCACCTAGTTCCAATCTTTTATGATCCTGGCCTGGACAACCATGCCCATGAGCCATTCACACCCAATTCCACTGCCCAGCTCTCGGCAGCCACTGATCTGCTTTTTGTCTGACGTGGATTTCCCTATGATGGACATTTTCTATGAGATGGAAACTGCTGTGTTTGGGTCTTGCTTTGTTCACGGAGCAGAGGTTTGAAGGTGGAAGCTTCTGTCAGGGCTGCATTCCTCTTACCTGCCTCCAACATTCCCTTGCCTGGATGGGCCACACTTTGTCATCTGCATATCTGTGGATGGGCATTTTGGTTGTTGTACCTTTGGGCTGTTGCAGAGACGGCTGTGATGAGACTGGTGTGCATTTCTTGGCTTGGGCTCCTGTGTCCAGTTACAGGAAAGCTTCTCCCGCTTTCCTTGCAGCTGATGGTTTCCAGTAGGCTCATACTTTTTTTCGGATCCAGGGCTAGATTTGATTTAGAAGGTGACATAGGACCAAGTCTCAGGTGTCTGGGCATCCCTGTGGGCACAGGGGGAGTCAGGTACAGGTGCAACCAAACACCCAGGTCCTAGGGCTGTTCCAGGGTGGAAAGCTGGGAACTCGTCTCTGGCAGTGTCCTGCCTGGGGCTCCACTTGACCCAGGAGTCAGTGTGGACCCAGGCTGCTGGCCCTGTGCCTCTCCCCTGTATCTGAGGCCTGGCCAGCCATGGGGTTGCCGGGCACTGGGCTTGCTCACTGAGAGGATACGAGTGCTCAGTGCATACCTGGGGGCTGGAGAATAGCCCTTGTGGATGACAGGGTGTAGAGCAGGCTTTCCTCACCACCCATGCTGCTGAGGGCATCAACCCAAGCCCCACAAGTCTTGGCCTGCCTCAAAGGGACACAAGAACAAGCCTCAGGTGGCATGGGGTGTCCCTGTGGACACAGGGGTATTAGTTCAGCCACAGGTGTAGTCAAAGGCCCAGGTCCTAGGGCTGTTCCGTGGTGGGAAGCACAGAAATGTGACCCTCATTCTGCCTGTGGGCCCTTTCCCATTAGGAGACACAGCAGAGACTGAGTTTTCCTGTTTCTCTGGAGGCTCTGATTCTGGGTTGGCTCTGAGACTGGTAAATGCAAGTGACCACTGTAAGGCCGGGTGGAGGTCCTGTACCGAGGCTCCTGGGGCACCGTGTGTGACGATGGCTGGGATACCAACGATGCCAATGTGGTCTGCAGGCAGCTGTGCTGTGGGTGGGCTAGGTCAGCCCCAGGAAATGCCTGCTTTGGCCAGGGCTCAGGGCTCATTGTGCTGGACGACGTGGCCTGCTCAGGGCACGAGTCTTACCTGTGGAGCTACCGCCACAACGGCTGGCTGTTGCATAACTGTGGACACAGTGAGGACGCTAGTGTCATCTGCTCAGGTGGGCATTGAAGATCATTGGGGCCCATTCCGGGGACTGAGTTTAGCAGGGAAAATACTTTTGCCACTCTAAGGCCAGCACTCAAGTCTCGTAAGGTGACCTGGTGTCTTTGCAGTTTACTGTGGGTATCTGTCCCTGAGGTCCTAAGCTGTCAGCATTGCCTCGCTTTGGGTTGGAGGCCACTGGCCACTGGCCTTCACTACACAGTCCAGCCTCTGAGGGCAGAGAATATCAAGCTTTCCCATAAACACAGG